AGCCCGAGGGGCGGGGCGGGCTGGAGAAGGCCGGGAAAGGCGGCCGGGTTTGCCCCCGAAGCCCGATTGGCCCCTGCGGCCGAGGCTGGGGGCAGAGGCCAGAGCCCGCCCGCTGGGCAGGACCTGGGCCGGGACCCCGCCCCGCCCCCAGACCTGACCCGGGCGGGGAAATCCCGCAGCTCTCCGGGCGGGGCGCCCATCCCCCACCCGTTCCCACACTTCCGAGAGCCGAGCTCTCTTTCAGATCCTCGACCATTCCCACCCTTCGGGCTGCTGGCGGCCGAGCTGTCTGAATTCGGCTGTCCGACCCCGGTTCTGTGTTCTCCTTCGACACTGGGCTGGTCCCGCCGCCCAGAAAGGGTTAACTCGCCTGCGAGGAATTCGGAGCTGCAGGGAGCTCTCTATAAATACAGTGTCGTGGGCGCCTGAGCCAACCGCAGGGCAATTTCCACTGAACTGGTTTTCCTCCTCTTTTCCTTCCACCCACGGCCACCCGACCAGCCCTGCCCCCAGCCCCATGCCAGACTGCTGGCCAGACTTGGTTCCCAAAGACCAGACACCTGGGCTCTATCCTTACAGGACCTGATAGCAGCCTGGGAGGGGAGAGGGGCTCACTGTCCGGATTTTTGCCTTGCAGCATCAGGTCCCTGCACCTGTTCTTGGATCTGGTCTTCATCAGACAGTGACTGCTAAAATGTAGGGAGGGTTCTGAGGACCGAGTCCAGGCTAGGAGCTTTCTACGCTGGGCCTCTTTAAAGGCTCACAACAGCCCCACCAGGTAGATTCTATTCCCATTTGACAGATGAGAAAACAGAGGCTGAAGGCCCGGTGCAGTGGCTCACACCTGTCATCCCAGGAGTTCCAGACCAGCCTGGGCAACTTGCCCAGACCTCATTTTTATAATACATCAAAAAATAAGCCAGGCGTGGTGGCACACACCCGTGGTTCCAGTTACTTGGAAGACTGAGGCAGAAGAATCGCCTGAGCCCAGCTGGTCAAGGCTGCAGTGGTCATGAGTGTGCCACTCCACTCCAGCCTGGGTGACAGAGTGAGACTCTGACTCAAAAAAGAAAAAGAGGGCCATCGCCTTGCTAGACCCTGGAATGGCCATGTGCTCTTTGAGCTATGCCATCGCCATGCTTTCTGGCTTTGGCCCCCTCTCCCACCTTGGGGTGGTGAATCTTCTCTCTTCCTTCTCTTTCTCTCTCTAATTTGCTTTTAAATAAACCTTTCTTTCTTTAAAAAAAAAAAGAAAGAAAGAAAGAAAAAGAAAACTAAGTCTCGCAGAAACTTCACTTTGTGCCATTGCCAGGCTCACCATCAAGCAACGGCAGTGGTTTTGGAGATAGCTTGGGGAATATGTCTGAACGTGTCCCTACTGTCATAAGCTCTTAACCATTTCATCTCATTTATTTTCACAACAACTCATTGAAGTCAATGCCATTATTATCCTCATTTTTTTTTTGAAAGCAGGATTTATTGAGAGTTCAGACAGAAAAGCTCCCACAGTGGGAGGGGACCTGAAGGGGTTGCTCATTTATCCTCATTGTTACAGAGAAAGAAATTGAGGCACACAGAGATTAAGTAACTTACTTGAGGACACAGCAGTTAAGGGAGAAAACTTGAATGTAAGTGCTGTAGTCAGTCAGATCAGCTGTCAGCTGTGTGTGTGGTGTATGTTGGGGGGTGATCATGCATGCGCTTGTGTATTTGTGAACACATGTGAGCAACTCTCTGAAACTGAGTCAACGTGCACATGGGTTTCTGAATATATTTTTTTGTGTGCGGGTTTATTGTTCTTTTTTTTTTTGTAGTCGGTCTCACTGGTCTCACTCTATCACCCAGACTGGAGTGCAGTGGCACACTCACAGTTCACTGCAACCTTGACCTGCTGGCCTCGGTTGATCCTTCTGCCTCAGCCCCCCAAATAGCTGGGACCTTAGGCGCACATCACCATGCCCAGTTAATTTTTAAAAATTTTTGTGGAGATAAGGTCTCCCTATGTCATGTTAGCTGGTCTTGAACTCCTGGGCTCAAGTGATCCACCCATCTTGGCCCCCCAAAGTGCTAGGATTACAGGCATGAGCCACGGTGCCCAGCCTGAGCATGTTTAATAGCAGCTATATCTGTATGATTGGTGACTGCTCCTAGGAATGGCAACAGAGAAGCCCAGCTGTCCCCGATGACCTCCAGGCACTCTGGACTAATCCACACTGCTCCCCGCTGCCCCGTTAGGCCCTCTCTGGTCTTGTCCAGTCCGTGTCTGGCCTCACAGTTCTCTGTGAGTAGCCCTCAGCTGGCCCAGCAACCTGGAAAGAGGCATCCCAGGGAGAGGTGTCCCAGGGCTGAGGGAGCTGAGAACCTGCAGCAGAGCCCTAGGGTGGCGTCCCACAGATCTGGAGGGACTCACTTTTCCTCCCTTCACCAAGTGCTAGCCCTTGCTTTGTATCCTGCGGTGGAGACACAGGACTTGTCCCTGAGGAATCTTAGTCTGGCAGGGAAGGAACGACTCAGCCATGATGGAGAGCGGAGGAACAGCTCGGGGAAGTTTATAATGTCCAGGGAAGGCTTTTATTGCAGCTGCACGAAGGAAGGAAACAGGTCTTGGCTCTCCTTCCTGGAAGCAGGGGCTTGAGAGGGCTCTGACCCCCCAGGAAGGAGAAACAGCTTGTGCAGAGCAAGAATGGTGTGCTTGTGGGACCCGCTCAGACACTTGGCCCTGGACACAGTTGGCGAGAATGACCATCCCAGTACACACGAGTCTCCTTGGTTCAGAGAATGTCAAGTTGTCCCTGGGATCTCGGGAATAGGGGTGCTTCACAGATTCCCTTCTGAAGCAGCAACATTCAGGAAGGTGGGCTGTCCTCGTGTGTCCTTTCTGGACAATAGCCTCACCTTCCCCTACCACCACCTGCTTCCTGGGCCAGCACAGGGAAAGCCAATGACTCAGAATAGTCTCTCTCCAGTTTTGCTAAACATTCCCCAAGGAGGTCACAAGTCAATGACTGGGACAAGCCATCCCCCAGTTTTTTTTTTTTTCTTTTTGAGTCAGGGTCTCACTCTGTCGCCCAGGCTGGAGTGGAGTGGCATGACCTGACTCACCGCAGCCTTGACTTCCTGGACTCAGGTGATCCTTCTGCCTCAGCCTCCTGAGTAGCTGGGACTACAGGCACATGCCACTATGCCCGGCTAATTTTTTTTATTTTTTATTTTTGTAGAGATGCAGTCTGGCTACAGACTGGTATTAAACTCCTGGGCTCAAGCAATCTGCCTGTCTTGGCTTCCCAAAGTGCTGGGATTATAGGCAAGAGACACTGGGCCTGGCCAGCCTTCCCTCACTTTTTTTCTACCTATAATCCTGCAGGCTCCTCAAACTCAACATGTGCAAAATGGAACTGTCACCTGTTCCCCAGATCTGTTCCTCCTCCTAGATAAACGGGAGGGACCACGCCCCAAATCTGGACTCATCCTACACTCATCCCTCGTCCTCACTGCCGATATCCAGACAGGCATGAAGGGGTGCCTTGGTTATTTATCTGTAGAATCTGTCCTTCCCTGAACACCCGATTTTCACCCCAACCTCATGGGCCCCCATCACTCCTCATTGCATTTCTGTGGAAGCCTCTGAAATGACTCTCCTAAGGCCAGGTGTGGGGGCTCACTCCTGTAATCCCAGCACTTTGGTAGGCCAAGGCTCGAAGATTCCTTGAGCCCAGGAATTCCAGACCAGCCTAGGCAACATATTGAGACCTTATCTCTACAAAAAAAATCAAAAAAGTAGTCAGGCATGGTGGCACCTATAATCCCAGCTGCTCGGGTGGCTGAGGAAGAAGGATCACCTGAGCCCGGGAGGTAAAGCCTGTGGTGAGCTGTGATTGTGCCACTGCACTCCAGCCTGGGTGACAGAGTGAGATCCCGACTCAAAAAAAAAAAAGTGGAGTGGCCTTGAGCTATAGAAATCAGTATGGCCGTTCCTTAAAAAATTAAAAACAAAACTCATACGATTGAGCAGTTCCACATACAGGTTTATCCCCCACCAAAGAATTGAAAGCAAGATCTCAAAGAGGTATCTGTACACCCATGTTCATAGTAGCATTACTCCAAAATGTGGTAACAACCCAAATGTCTGTCTACAGAAGAGTGAGTAAGCAAAATGTGGTTCCATCCAGTGGAACACCCTGTTATTACTTTTCTTAGGGCAGAAATTATGAGTTCATGGTGAAATTAAGAGACAACTTCCCTTGGCCGCCTTCAAAAGGAAACACACCCTCCTCATCTATTTAAACACGGTTCAATCAAGCAAGCTGGGTTCCTTAACCTGGCTGTACAGTGGAGCTGTGCAGGTGTGGCTGGCCCGCTAGAGCCACCAAGCAGTCCATCTCACAGAAAGC